AATATGATAAAACACTTGAAACTAGTGTGAATCATCCCAAAAAAATAAAATGTAAAAGAAAACATCTTGATAAATGATTTTAGTATATTAAGTCTCAACTTCAATTATTCAAATAATAAATATGATTTTCAGTATATATTTGGTACTATTTAAAAATTCGTGTCTTAGATAAATATAAAATTTGAATACACTCTATTAATTTAAAGTCAAAATCTTTCAAAATTATAATGTGAAATCATAGATTCATAGAGAACTAAGCAAGCTTTTATATCCATATTTTTCTTCATGAAATCTCATTGATTTAATTGACTTTATCACATTTCTTCTTATTGTGGTAGTCATTGTTGATATTAATAATTTTACAATAATATAAAAAAATAGTAAATCTTCACACTACAATCAGTTAGATTAGTTAGTTTAGCATCATGGGACACGAGTATACTTGGTAAGTTCTCATCTAAAATTTTATTGATATTATTTTCAGATATATTGAAACATTCTATGTTTGATCTCTTATTATGAATGTTCTGAACTAGGCATAATTCAATCTTTCAATTAAACTTTAAACTTGTTTTTTATCATCAAAATATTATGTATTTTAATATTTCAATATATAATTCTTCCTTAGTCAGTTTATTCATAAATGTACTTTTAACAATGCATTTTATGTAATTTGAAATTATTTTAATCTATAAATACAAGAAGAATTCTAATAGTGTCAAGCCTAGTTACTAGTGTATGAGTTTCTTCATAATCAATTTCTTCTTCTTGAACATAAACTTATGCAATTAGTCTTATTTATTATGAAGAAAATGACATGTGAATATTTTTCTTAAGAGTTGTTATAGTTCTGACCCCTATTAGTTAAATTACTTAAGAAATTTTCTTTTAGACAACTCTTACTATATTTTTAAGTCCTAGGTAGGTCTTCATTTTCAAAATTAGATCTAAGTGTAACATTTATTCATTCTCTTAATACTCATTTTTATCATATTAGTGATTTATTTATCTTAAACTCATCTGGAATGATCTTTTGTGAAATGAGTTGATCTATAAATTTTACATGAATGGATTCTTCAACAACCAAAATTATTTTCTTGTAAATTTTATATTTTGTTTTATTTTTTAGAGTATCTAAAAAATGTTTATTGGTCACTATTTTGATCAATGTTTCTTAATTGTTCACTCCCAATATTCACAATAAAATATTTGCATCAAAATGGTTTGGGGTAGTCTAAATTTGGCTTCCTATTCTTATGTAATTCATAGGGCATTTTATTTAAGTTTAATCTAATAAAAAAAATTAACCACACAAAATGTTGTCCTAATTATTTAAGAGTAATTTCTTTTTACAAAGATTACTCTCAACCAATAATATTCTAGATGTCTAGTAATGTCCTTTTTTTTTCAACAAATCCATTTTATTGAAGAGTTCTTGGAGTTGAGAAATTATGTGAAATTCTTAATTCATCACATAATTAAGAGAATTTAACATTCTCAAATTCACTTCCATAAGTTAATTTTGAATTTCTTTGCAAATTTTGTAAAGTAATCAATAAGTCATTTTTAAAACTAAAACAAATACTCATCTGTCTAGAGTAATCATCAACTACAATTAAATCATAATATTTTCCTCATAAGCTCATAATTTTACTTGAACTAAATAAACATAAGTTTAAGAGTTTTTTAAAGAGATGTATTCCTTAGTTTTAAATTGTTCCCTAGTCTGCTTTTCTTTGGTACAACTCTCATATGTATAATTTTTTATGTTCAATAGTTTAAGTAAACCTTTAACTAAATCAAGTTTGGAAACCTCTTAACCATCCTAACATTCACATATCTAAGTCTTTTATGCCAAAGATCAATATGCTCTTTATCCTTTTTAACCATGACATATATATTCTTGTTAGCCATTTATCTAGAATCTAAAACCTAATATTATTTACTCCACATGTAAAGAATATCTTATTATTTGTGTTATCTAATACAAGACATCTACCTTTTGTAAATATTATTTTCCTTTTTTTATCACATAGCTAATTTATATTAATTAGATTATGTTTAAACCCATCACCAAGTAAGATATTTTTAACTAAAGTGTAATCTTCAAAATATATATTTCTATACCCAAGTATACTCTCTTTTTTTTACTTTTTTAATTTTACCTCTCTTTTATCTATTGATGTAAATAAAGAGATTTATCCTTGATCTCTAATCATATGTTTTGAACACCAATCATCTAAATACTATCATTAAGTGGTTCATTGGAGATCCCCTAAAAAATAATTTAAGTTTTTAGTTTGAGGTTTCAAATTTCTTTGCATTTAACTACACTACCCTTTAGTACCTATATACAATGTATTTTAGGTATAGTTACGGTTTTGACATATATATTAGTTGATCTTGGATTAAATCTTACTCTTTCATTTCTAAGAGATAATTTTAAACTTCATGCTATCACATAATTTCTCATAATAAATTTTCCTATCAAAAAAATTCTTTTCAATTTTTTATATTTTTATTTATGATTGAATAATTTAATATTTATATTTTCCTTTTCTTCCCTAAGTTTATAATTTTCTAAACTTATTTTGGCAATTATATTCTAATGAACAGGTGTAAATCTTGATTGAATCAGATAAATGGCTTTCTGATCATTGACCCTTAGGTTTTTCATCCTTTTCTAATTTGGTTTAACATATTTTTATTTTTTCAATGAATCATCGTTGTGTTTTAGTTTATTAACAGTCAACAATAATGATTTTCTAAGGAGTCTTTCTTCATATTCTTTTTCTTTTATCCCAAGAATATTCTCAAGGTTTTCATTTTCCTTTCCTAATTTCTCAAATAAGATTTATAGTATTTGTGTTTATTTTTTAGAATTAAAAATGACTATTTAAATATTTAATTTTCTCTTTGTGCTTTAAGCTTATTTGTAACAGTTTTAAAAACACATAACAACTCATCAAAATCTTCACACAATTACTTTGTAAATAAAGAGGAGATATGAGGATCATATACTTCTAACTAAATTGTCATTAGGTATAGATTTACTTTTTCCTCATCTTCTTCATCCAAGCTGAAATCACCTTCGCTCCATGTCACCACCATGGTTTTCTTCTTATACTCTGATTTTTTTCCTTTTTTAGTAAGTGGTAAATCAACTTTGAAATAACCTTATTCTTAAACTCAAACAAAAGATAATCAAATTTTTCAAAAAACTTTTTTATATCCTTCTTAGTCATGGAGTTTTTATTCTTATTCATGAACCTAGTCTTCTTAATAAGAAAATTATTTCATTGTTATCATTAGATGATTATATTGATTTTAAATCAATGTTCTTATTTTTCTTTTCATGAGATTTTCAATTATAAATATATCAACCTCATGAGTTAACAAAGAGTCAATAATATCATCAATGTGAATGATTATTAAATCTTTTGATTCCTTACTAGCAGTTACTTTAGCATTTCAATTATCAATCAACAATCTAAGTTTACAATTAAATTCAGTATTTGTACAAGTTTTTCCAATGTTTTTATACCATTTAAAATTTCATCAAATCTACTAGCTAAATCTTTAACATATTCATCATCTCCCATTCTAAATAGTTCATGTTTGTTCACTAAAATATTGATTTTGATGTCCTTCACCTGAAAAGGTATTAAATAATCACTAGCCATCAATATTAAATAATCACTTACCAATAAATTTTCATTTATAATTATCAAAAGTAAGAACATCAACACAAGTTTGGGTCCCTAGTGAGTAATAATTTTTTAAATATCTAACATTTTATTCTTGCTAAGAGAAAAATATGAACTACAAAATAACACAATAATTCTTCATTCTAAGTGACACCACTTGGGAAACAATGTTAAGAGTCACTTTAAGACAAATACCTGTTATTCTCCTCTATAATTCGTACCATAACTTCAGGCTATTTTGCTTGTGTAAGACATATAACTTCTCTGTTGAGGGGATTTGACAACTTGTAGACATTGGCTGTTGTTATTGATGTACATGTATATGCACACACATCATTGATGAAAACCCAAAGTAGATCCTATACTAAATGGAAATTCGGGGAAGTTATCAATATAATTTCACTGTTCTTAGGGGAGTAGAAAAGCTGATCTTGTGATTTATGTTATGGATCGGTGGCCCTGGATGTGGGTGTTGTGATTTGCTTTCTCTCAAGATATATGGAAGTATAGGGTGGACTAGCTAAATTAAACGAAATTTTGGAATATGTGATATCTGGAGAACTAAGCACCGCTTGATGCACCGACCAATAAGAATCACTCAGCCAATAAATTATGAGCGGACTTTGACGCCGTGCCATAATTTTCCTCACTTTGTTTATTGGTTCTGGTTTTTCGCATGCATTTTTTTTTCCCATTTTCGTGCAGGAAGTGTACTGTTCGTCGTTCTTGCACCATTGAACCATAATAAGTTCTCCCATCATTGAAAAAAAATAAAATTAAGTCCAGTAATCCTATTAGGTGAACGACTCGATAACTTGAATGTGTAACACTTAGAGATTTGTTTCAAAGTTAGCTAATTTAAAAGAAGGTTTAATATTTGAACTGCTGGATATGAATCGATCTGTCTTCAATTTTTAACCTAAATTTTGCTCCCCCTGGTCATAAATTTTTAGTTAAACGTGTACTAGTGATTCTTGTCTTTTGGTTTTTATATTAGTTCTTGTTCCAACCCTTTCTCTACCAGTGCTTGCGTCTACCCTCTTCCTCGCTGATAGTTGTGGCAAAATCCATTGTGGGAGTAGGCCGGGAATTCTACACCGGAAGGAAACCCGCAAAGAAATTCTGGAGTTTCCGTACCCAAGAACATCGCAGGGCTTATCATAGTTGCTCGGATATCTCATAAAACTGATGAGGGTTTCAAATAAATAGAAAGAATTTTTTTAATGATTGAGCCATCGGAAGTACATTGAACCCTTAAAAAATAGATACTAGAAGGGAACGACTGGTCAGTTACTAGAAATGGAGATCGGCGTCTCCGGCGTCAGAAACCAGAAGGCCACCCACCTGCTCATCTACCATCCCCGGATACGAGAACCCAGTTGACGAAATCTGGTTCGAATCCTGGGAGTGAGTATAATGAGCTAGACCATGCTGATGAAACGTGGAGAACAGCGGCTGAGCCAGCGGAATCCGCCCAGCCGGCACCATGTGACTGTCGTTGATACCCAAAGAGCAAGTTGGTGATGACAGAAGAGAGAGAGCAAGTTCAGAGTCGAGAACTTGGGCTAGCCCACCGTGAAACATTCTGTCGTCGCTGCTGCCCTGGGAGGTGGTGATGGTGGGGAGGAGTGGCTGGCAGACGGAGGTTTCCATTATTCTGTTGCTGGTGAAAAGAAATGCTCTCTCTTCTTCATAAGACCGAGGATATGATCCAGGGAACTGAAAAGGCAAGCTGTGGCCGTGGAGGGAGGAGACGTCTTCCTCGGCTTTCACCACTGCAACCCAGTTGGACTCTGGTCTAGCAGCAGGGAAAACCTCAGAGTACAAAGAGAACCTGGGTCCTGTAGATTTGAAAGTAATCTCTCATACATAAAGAAATAGAGATTTAACTGAAGAAGATGATTGATGATTAACTTAAGTTCTTCGCCCAAACCTGGGAAATTGGCGAATAAATTAGCCGAATGCATAGCATGTGGCTGAGGTTTCCTTCGACGCCTGTTATGACCGTCGAGACGTTTTCTGCAGCTTCGTTTTCCCTCATCAAATTCCGCTAACATATGAAACCTGCAAGGCGTGATTTCATAGGGGGAAAATTTTAAGGAATCGTCCCCCGAGTGCTACATAGAATCAAAGGAAATAAGCAGTTCTTAACATTCAAAGATGAGTATTTGCCGAATATCTGGCCCAAGACAAAATATGAGCTATCTGGCGTGACCACAAATTTTGCATACGCCTCCCTATTCTTCACTCGTGAACTTTAAAGCAAGCAGGTGTCATGAAAACAGATCAGATGTTGGAAACTATAAGTAAAAGATGAGAAATTAGTAAACTCATACAATCCACAAGATAGAGAACGCTGCCCCTTCTGATATCATAGGAATAACTCAACTGTTTACATCTATATCTATACATAGATAAAACCTATATACAGATGGGTAATTTAAAATTATAATATAATTGTAATATCTATATCTATATATGTAGCGCCCGCGAGAGAGAGAGAGAGAGAGAGAGCGAGAGAGAGAGAGGATGTTTGAAAACATGGCCAAAGCAGATTCAAATCGGAACCACAACACGCGCCACGACTGAAATGGAAACACTTCGAGTAATTCATTACTGTGAGACCAATTCCAATGAAACCAATGGATACAGTGAACCTAATAATGTTTTTCAAAGGTAAACAATTTTCTAAAATTGGCAAAGGTAAAATGACTCCAAAAGACCGCCGAAGCGTCTAGCTCGTTCTATTTTAATAGGTCAACGGAACTTCAACAAGGCCGATACCCTCTGTCGCGTGTATCACCAAAAGAACCAACTTAGAGCCCATATTTCTAAATTATTTCTTAAAAAATCGTGAAATTTTTCAAATATAATAAGCCCAGCAATATGTGAAGTTGCACTAGGTAAACCCTCCACAGTCACCACAGCAGCTTATCGAGAATCACCACATAAGATAAGTCATTTTGGGAATATTATATCACTTTCTCTTATCTAAACTAATGTTATATGATTTGGAAGTATGCTTGAAGAATGGAGCACGCATGTAATGAAGGATTGCACCATTAGAATTCTTATGATTTCTGAATGATTTCATGGCCACCTGACTGACTATCGAAGGACAAATTCAACTACTGGCGCATATTTTCAATAATAAGCGCAAAGAAGTGCCAGAGTTTTTAATCAGGAAATTAATTGCGCTCTTATTTCAAAACAAAGACAGTAGAAGGGGTAAATATGTTCAATCGAAGTATTGACCTGTGAACCCACACAAAGACGTTGAAGAGATATTTTCAGGTTGAAAAGATAATAATTCGGATGAAAAAAAATATCCTTAGAATTCTCCAATTATCATACAGGCTAAATAGATTTCGGAGTAAGATAATCCACACTCTAGCGTGCATATAATTTGAGTATATATGCAAAAATATCAAATAGAAACAAACATAGGTAGGAAGAAATAACGGCATTAGAGTTGAAGAAGGTGATCCTTTAATATATCTAAATGTACCCCCCCAAAAAAAATGCTTTTCAGTAGCATTGCCCAAGATTGGGCTTCAGAAAACATCAAAGAGAAAACGAGACAATCTGAAAAGAGAGAGTGTATAAAGGGAGACAGAATAAGCAGGTGACAGTAAGGAAGAAGAAAACAGGAAAAGAGCTTCTTTTTGACTTCCGAACGAGGAAGAAGAACACGGAGCGTGAGCGAGAGAGAGAGAGAGAGAGAGAAGACAAGACAAGACAAGGGGATGAAAGAGAGGACGAAAGTGCAGACGCGGGGAGAAAAACAGGAAAGCAAGAGAGAAAAAGAGAGGACGCGGCAGTGGAGATAGAGAAAGCACGAAAGTAGAGACAAAAGGAAAAGGGAATGGGGTCTTCTCTTCAGCCATTACCTGCTGCACTGCTGGCAGAAGCGTTGTTCAAGGCCATTTACCATGACCATTGGCGTCTTCGAGTGGACCTCACAAACCTTATGTCGTCGGTGGTACTCTCTGCAGCCGCTGAGGTCGGAGTTGCACCCGTCGACGAGGCAAGAGGCGACATGGGCGCCGTTGTTCGGCGCTCGTGCCCTCTTTGACGAGCTTGACGGGGAAACCGTCGTCGTGGAGAACCTCATACCTTCTCTACATCTGTAGGAGGCAGAGGATGATCCAAAGTTCCCCGAGCCCCCAAGTTTCAGATCAACGGAGCAGTCTGATCCGCTCGTCTGGCCCTCTAAGCCGCCTCCGGGAGCGAAGGACGGCCTCATACTGGGTTCTAATTCCGACATGTCCCAGGTCTTCAAGTCCCAGTCCATGTTCCCGAGATTCTTCAATTTCCTCTTTTTCTCGTTCTAAACGTCGCAGTGACCTCACTTCCCCTCTCCTCCTTTTAGTCGACAGGATTACCCAATGAAAATAGAGCCCGTAGCTTGGTGAGTGTGGGGAGAGGCAAAGAGTATTGACGAAAAATTGGAGGAGCTGACCATCATGCTACCAGGAAGAAAATTGTGCAGATTAGGATGCAAGTCTCAACAGAGAAGAACAGGTCAGAAGCGCAAGTTGAGCTTCTAGTGCGTGTACTAATAAAATTAACTGCTATAAAGAACGGAGTCCAAGAAGAGGAAAGCGCACAGAGTACACACCTCAGCCGGTGGGAAGCAAGAAATAGATACTAACAAAAAGAAAATCGCGCATTCACGAAAGCTGCTGGCGTGTATGACATTTCGGGCAGAAGTTGCCGGCAGGAAATGGAATATATAGAGGCTTGCGGCAAGGGGGAGCGGGGGAGGAAGCGGAGAGGTGGGAGTAGCTGAGAACTGGAGGCTGGCCAACGCTGAGCGGCCACTGCAACAGAAGCCCGATTACCCTCTCCCTACACATTCAATTCCTGCCGGAATCCCGACAGGAAGGCAATAAATTCTGGAGGAGAAGCCAGGGAGACGGTAACCACACAACCCCTCTCCGCCGGAGTTTTATAGAGGTGGAAGGCGGCCCGGAGCTACGGTTGAAAGGAGAATAACAGTGAATGACGATACCGTACTACCCTCCGACCGTTTCAATCTTCTTCTCTTGGGTTGGGGATGGGGGAACCGCCTGGTGTTTGGTATCTCTTCGGGTTTTCTAGTCAATAATTCATGACGCAGGGGACCCGGGAGTCTCGCCTACGAACTTTTCAAAATAGTAAAAAACGTACAAACGGAGGGTGAGAAGACCAAGAGGATGAAGTTGGAAGATGCCCCCTCCTACCAGGGGGTGAAAAAGGGAGAGAAAGAGAGAGAGAGCAGTAAGAAATTGAGACGTAAGAGTTTTGATGGGGAATCTCCGCTTTAATGAGGGGAGCAATCCTAGATTTATCTGAGATACCACAGCAAGCATGTCCTACTTTAAAAACCCTAAGTCGGAGGCCGTCTAACGCCTAAAGGCCGTAGTATTTTTTTCCTCACGGTATCGTTCAGTCGTCCTCCAGTGGGAACCATCTCCCCCTTCAACTAGCTTTGGAAACTGAAACTAAACTAAACAAGGTAAGAAAGGAGCCTCGAGATCTGGGGAACAAGATGATCTAACGCACTAATAAAAAAACAAAGCCTATGATTTCGCAATTCCCTGTAATTTAACTGGTTGTAAGAACTGGGTTTCCGCTCGCATAAGTTCCGTCCCCTTGCTGAAAGGGGGTTTTTTAGTCCAAACCCGAGTACACCGCACTAAAATCTAAGGATAATTGGCAGACATAAAATATAGGGTTTTTTTATGTATATGAATGTATGGTCGGATCCAATGCATACTGTTAAATCAGTCCTTTTTGTGCAATCTTCGTCTGAAACCCTAAGAAATCACAGGTTACCGACGGAAGGAAGTCAGCGTCGTCAAAGCGGCTCGATGTTCAAGATCAGCAGAGCCCCGCCGACTCAGGCCTCAGATCGGAAACTAGAGAGCAGCGGTCCCCGCCGCCAACCGTCGGTTTATGGCGGGCCTTGGCGGAAAATGGAGGTTTTTTTGCGAAAACATTATTTTAATTGCTACCGTATGTTCAAACAAAATCGTATTATGTGTAGATTATAAATCCCGTATCTGCATTCTCCATAGGAGTATACGTTCTCTTCTCGAGACTGGTACTGTCCATGACATCGTCCGCAGATGGACCAGTCACTGACGTCACATCAGAAGACGGCGACTACGCGATAGTATGCTGTAAAGCTGGAACTGCCGTATCTCACAGTACGCCAGCTTCTAGGTCGTCATCATCCCAGCTTCTTGTGCCGTCATCACCACCGGAAAAAATCGGAGCGAGCGTAGAGTTAGGGTTTGCTGTCCGGACCCGATACTTTACGCCGGACCCTAAACTTCTGAACTTTCTGTGGGATGGATGGCGGGCGGGCGGGCCGTCCCCACCATCACGGAAACCCTCCCCCCCATTCCACTCCACCGCCGTCCCTCATCCACTCGGCTCCTTTCTTACGGTCCCCTGCACGTTGATCTCCCGCGTCGATCATTGAACAGGAGGGGGAAGAAAAGCCCTCTCTCGACCTCCCATCCATAACAGTTCCTGGTCTCCTCTAAGCTTGGAGCCACGAGTAAATGAGGCAGAACGTTCTATCCCCCCCCGTTCCATGGGAGCGCCCCATTCCTGGCCCTTGTTTGTTTCAGGTGAGCAGCAGTAAAGAATCCCCCCCCCCCTTCCAAGCAGCACCCGCCACCCCGATTCCCTTCGTGTAGGATCCCCAAGACCTGCCATCGTCAGGCCGGTAACAGCTTGGAAGGGGGGGGATTCCTGATGCAGTAGGAAGATATGATGAACGATGCGGTCTGTAAACAGTCGATCAAGGGCCAATGAAGCACAGGAGTAAGTTTGCTCCTCTAGCTCCGTGCTAACCCACACGATATAAAGAAGCTCTGGAGGAAATGGAGCGGTGATCTCAATCGTTAAAAAACAATTCAGTGTCATAAATGTGGAAGATGAGCGACATAAATGTCTGGGTGGAGCGGACGCTCAAACTAGGAAAGAAGGAGAGAGATGCGATTAATATCCGTGAAAACGTGACATTTCATTAGTTCACATCACATCGCCAGCGACTGATGGTCGCGTCACTGATAACGACGATGGCTTATGTTACGACACTTACTGAATTCTATCAGAAATTATTTATACGTGGCTGCGACCATGTTCACCAAGGGGTTTACCCTCACCAGCTTTTAACTAACGAGGGGCGATCTTTGCTAGGAGAATGAATGACGTAGAAAATCTCGCAGAAACCCCATTGCATGTGGAAGTATTTTTTCTTCCCTTACAAGCTAAAACCCAAGTTTTCGGGCACGCAGCAACGTGAAACAAACGGCCTTTGTCTGAGCGGAAATGTTCCCATGTCGATCCGAGCGTAGAATGCTTCATCCAACCAAGAAAACTCGGACCCACATCGTTAAACTGTTCTGATGGAAAATGGCATCCTGGCGACATCGGAGACACTACTCGGCTTTAAAAGAAAACCGTATTGATCATCGATACGGCATCCAAACGTATGATGTGAATCAGAATACCCAGGCTCCGTTGATTTTGACGAATTTATCCCTATTTTCCCCTTTTATGGACATCCCCGTCCGGTTGCCGCTGGTTTTCCGACAAGAACGGTTGCCACCTGCGAGACGTTACACGGGCCACGAGGGCATCTTCCTTTGCCGAGAGGAGCGGAGAACAAGCAGATGAGCTCCACTAGAAGCCTCACCGCACCTAGCCCTCCAATCCAAGACCTTAGGGGAGTTCCCACCGGCTTTCCACCACTCTTTTTCCGCAGTTCTTCGCGGAGACCACCAACCCAACTAGAACTGCTGGTCTTGTCGCCGCAGCACTGTATACGTTAAAAACCGCCCGGTGACTTCAAACAACAAGGAAACGCAGGTTGGGCTTCCGCTCGTTACCTCGTCGTGGTTCTGGAGACGAGAGTAAAAATTAAGAAATAAAAGGAGTCAGAGCGTAGGCTATGATAAGTCACTGACAGTCAGACAGAGAGAGAACGGCTAGGAAAGTGTGCCCCTATCCGAAATCTTGGCTCCCTCTTGTTGTCCACTCACGAGAAAGATCAGCTGAGATCCAAAAAGATTGATGGGGGAGTCGCTTCCACGATCAAGAACACCATACCGTGTCGTGCCATTTGTGGGGAAAAGTCCACGACACGAGCGGTGGATGCATTCGGGGGTAACTGTGCAGAAGCCCTCCTTGGGACCCATCGCATTGAATCGGGTTCCTCATTTCTATGCTGAAAACCAGGAAAAGTTTACCTATTATTAAACAGCTCATGTTCTTCAGGCAAACTCGATATTTGCTCGACCTCAGATTATTACAGTCTAACTCCAGCCCATCAATTGTATTTATGTTAGAGGCATCTTGGTGGATCGACAGCTCTGAAATACAAGTGAATTGCACCATCATGCGCGGAACCCCACATCAGTTTGCATCCGGTAATCATAGCAAATGTGAGAATGGATTTTGCATAAACTGAGAGTAGTTTACGACGAAACTGACGCTCTGCAAGGTCGCGCCTTCCCTCTGTTGATTGGAGGAGAATAGGCATCATAATACTTTTTGGCATGGATCCCAGCGAACAAGATGTCTGCAGAGCTCTTGTGGGGCACTCTGCCGGAATAAAGGACCTTGTCAGCTAAACAACTGACGTATTTGGTGGTGGCGGTGGAGCGAAGGCTGCCTATCATAGCGGTGGGAGTTGGTGGAAAGACTTGCTGCCGTAGTGACTGAGCGCACTTCCTTGTGTTAGGTCGAGACCTGCAGCCGCTGTTCTCTTTTTTAATTTTATTTTAGAAACAGAGAGAGAGAGAGAGAGAGAGAGGGGGGGGGAGAGGGAGAGGGAATCTATCGGATATTAAAGCTGACGCCTTACATTTGTTACTCTAAATTCGAATTCTAATCAGAAGCAGATCAGACGGTGTAGTTAATCTCGAGTTGTTTTGCGTGAATGTGGAGCGTAAACATTAAATCACGCTTCGATGCTGCAAAGATCCTTTCAACAAAGCTGAGGGGTTTACTTTGAAGTGAGATGATAGAGTAGACCGGGGCTGGAGTTGGCGAAATGCCAACGGCCTCGATTAATAACGTTGACATTCGAAGGGAAGCTTTGACTGAAAGAGCTTTGGATCGATCGTGACTTTACGTAGAGTAGAGTTGGTCCGATACGATGAGCTTGCGCATTGCATGTCACGTACAAACGTACATATTCGATCGTATTTCAGATAATCACAACCATTTGATCTCGAGTTACGCGGTATATTTTGTCCACATTATACAGTCCCTAAAAACTTTGACCCGTGCATAACGTCACGTTTAAGCATAATATCAGGCAGAAGTATTAATTTTTTAAAACTAAATTATACAGCGTACACACCCGTTAAGAATTACTCCTTAAATTCTGTTGTTAGATCTGAAGTATGATCGAACTGGACCGGGTGAGCTGATCTTCTCCACTGGAGCCGAATAATACACTTCAGAAGGGATAATCCAGCCATGCATCGCAAGAAACAAAAACCATTCCTGGAACCTAGTTCTTGTCCTTAAACCCCCCCCCGGTGGAGGTGAGCCAGACACTTCTACGGATCTGAGGTATGCGGAGACAAGAATGAATGTGAGAAGAGAAGGACTCTCCTGCGGATCTAAAGCTTGCGGAGATTTGCACACTTTCGAAGGAATGAGAAGGAGATCGTGGGAGCCCTAGAAGCATCCTTCGGGATTTCTGGCGGATGAGATGATCAAAACATGAGAACAGACGACGACACAGCAGAAGCGAGAGGTATAAATCGGATATTTCCTCCCTTTCAAGTAAACACGGAGGGCATAAATCCCTGGGGAGCCCATGCGACCCGGAAGCGCCGGCTAACCCGAGTTCAAGAATTACGAGTACACATCGAGAGGACGTGACGGAAAAGAGATAAAAGATGCTACTTATATAAAGGCTTCTGATAAGTTACGACGTCATCGTCTCTCTTATTTTAATAAGGTTGTGATAAAATATCCGTGAAAAAATAGAGTACCCGACATGGTGAACAGGTGAGGCACTGCACCATCGTCGTCGCCACGTGAGAAGACTGCACCCCACGGAGGAGGAGCTAAGGGCCCCATAGAGGTGAAAACAGTCGACAACGTGTCTTTTGCTTTGGCGAAGGAGGAGACCCGGTCAGTGTGGTCCTCGTGGTTGACAGCACCATGGCCGTCGAAGGGGATGAATCTAATGAGTGCAGCCGGAGTCAGAGCAGCGGAGAGGAAAACGACGGCCTGCGCCGAATTGAAGTCATCGAGTTCACGGTGGGGACGAACCCTGTCACCGACGACCAAGGTCCACAGTGAAGCCACTCGACACGGCCGACAAGTTCCTGAGTGCTCTGACCTTCTCTGGGGAACCTACCATTCTGAGGGGGGGAGGGCATAAGCTCAAGAGCTAGATAATTATTCTCTCTTGAACAAAGTAAGCATAATATCTTGGGTCTCGGCAAAGTGGTTTTCTTTTGTAGAACTCAAGTCTTCTCATTTAGATAACTATTACTCAGCAGACGAAGGAATGTTGTAAAACGGAAAGCATGCCCACACCTTGTGGGCCGGAATAAATGAATCCAGCTATTGGAAGTTACCATTCATCTACACAGCCCCAAATTCGTGCACTCGCCTTTCTCTGCGTCAAAAACGGTAGCTTCGACTCTTGGCCACTGAGATCAAAAGAAGATTGGTTTATCAAGAATCGACTGGAGAGTGCTGGGATTGGAATCGACTGTAGCCAAGGCGGCTGAGGGAAACGTTTCGTCTTGATCCAATAGATTGGATCCATGTGATTCATTCCAAGCCGATCTGAATCGTGTTAGGTACCCCCCCGGATAGGTTAGGGCAACGTGGCAAGCTAAGTGATATTTTCTTGATGGGTGCATTTAATTGAAGGCATGGCAAATAAATATCTGAATAAAGCGAAGGATTTTCACCTGCTTTCGCTTGCCTTTTTTATTCATTCAGGAATTTTTCAATTTTCATTTTTTAAAATATGGATACCAAAATGGTCCTATTTTGATGTCCTAGATATTGTCCATCACTATCATATCCGACGTGAGGGAAATGATATTTAAGAGATGACATTCTTGACCTTCGGGCTGGTTTTATGCTACTCTTAGAGCTTCTTGTAAAGTTCACTAAGTTTTTTGTCTATATTTATCACTTCAAATGAAAAACAGGTCCAATTAAGGTGGGCCCGTCCACCGATGAGCTGTTGTTAACCGCACCGGATTCATGAAAATAGGGTTTTTTTTAATGGGTTCAGATATTATGAACTGTCATAATCTAAACTCACAAAAAAAAGGACATTTAAAAATATCTACTCTAAAAAAGTTAATGATTAGAATTTCTGGAAAATAGTTTAAATTTAATAAAATCAAACTCGGGCACTTTAAGAGTCGTCTTCTTGGTAAATAAAATTATATATTTTGGAATAGAAATAAGTATGTTTAATTTAATAAATTAAAGTTTTCCAATTGGAAGAGAGAGATTAGCATAAAATTATTTAATTCTATCTGAGATAATAATTACTTGGTCTTAGAGACCTCTAACAGTTTTTAACGCAGTTATTTTTTTTATGCAACATCAATTTAAATTTACGGGTTAAGACATTTTAGTGTCATTATTAAATAAATAATATTTTCATTTATTTAACTTATTCATGAAGTACCATGAACAGAAATGGAAGAGAGGAACAGTTTCATATGATTTCTGTAAGCATGAAAGACCAAACATGCAAGATATGAGATACATGGAAGACAATATGGATAAGATTTGTTGAGATGTCTTTGGTCCGACCTCTAGATCAGCTCACTCGTCGCCATAAGTACGGCCATCATTAACAGATAAACTTGAAGATCGCCGTAATCGGTTACCTGTTATGGCGATGACCCTTTCAAGTCGGGCAGTTACAACTTCCCGTGGTTCTCTCTCTCTCCCTCTGTCGCTAATTCAAATGGAACCCTCTCCCTCAAGAATATCCCAACCAAGACGACCAAACCCTACTCCGCACATTGGCGGATGTTCCTCCCGCACCTCTTCTAGGCGAGCGAATCCCTCTTCAGGCCCCACAAGGGATGACGAGGCGCGGAGGAAGATTCAGGAAAGATAAGGGGGACCTCCAGCGAAGATACCTAGACCTGGAACGCGAATGGACCTCATACAAGAAGTCGGCACCACCGCGGTACCTCCGCAGCAGTCAGACGATGACCCCACGATCCCATCCGTCCGCCATAGCTCCAATCACCGAGCCGTGCGAGAACTTGCCCAAGCAGCTGATGTATTCCCTTCAGTTCGACGGACCTCCCTCTGAGACCAAGGAGATCGCGATGGAGAGGAGAGCATCGATCTGGAGCGGGAGGCTCAGGGGGAGAAGTCTTCTGGAAGCTCTAGAACAAGCGCAGAACGAGAAATGCAGCGATTGCTCTTCCAGCGTTCTCGAGGGGGGTTCATCGTCTTACGCCTGCTCTCCCTCTGCCTCTCCCTCTTCCTCTTCCTCTTCCTCTTCCTCTTCCCCCTCTTCAAGTGTACGTGCAATCGGAGGCGAAAGCCATCGACGCCACAGTCGTTCTTTCTCGCCGGAACTCGGCGTGGGGGAGAAGGCCGCGGGTGCGGCGGATGGGCGGCGATGGATGTTGGCCATCCTCCTCTCGTTGCTCTCTGTGGCCGCAATTATCTTCATTATGGAGTCCTTATCTGAAGAAGGCGGGGATTGGCTGACTCCCACGTGAAGCACAGCTTCCGGAAGACTATTCTTACTTCCCCCCCTGTCGGCACCGAGTTTTGACTTTTCTATTACCGATATGCTTTGGGAGAAAAATTATATACCTACACAAGGTCAACGAACTCGACAATCGAGAAGGTCGCTAGGCCCAGTCCATTTTTGGGGATATCCCGATTAGCCCAAACTTAAGCCCAGTAGGAGACTGAGAGCCCGTCAGACGTCTGCCGGGCAGGTTGGGCTGGAGAGAGAGGGAGAGAGATAGAGAGATATATCAAGAGAGAGAGAGAGAGAAGGCGGGATCCAGAGACTTGGGAGGATCGCTCCCAAGTGGGATTCCGATTTCGAGCCGGATCGCCGGTGGCGGCTACGGTCGGGGCCTTCTTTCCCAAAACGTTGACTCTGGATCGCTGCCGGTCGTCACGCGAAGGCGGGGGCCTCTATAACAAGTGACGTTCTTCTTCAACTTCCGAGGCCTCCCCTCGCTGCCGGATCCACCGTCTCTCTCCTCCGACCTCTAGCCCTTCAATTCAAACGATTTTGAAAGCGACGCTTACCGAGGGAGACAAGTCAAGCCGCCATCTTTCCCCTGTCTTTTCACTTCTGCACCAGGTCGATCCCCCTCTCCCCCTTGCCCACTGCTCCTGGCCTCCCTTTCCCTCATTCCACTGCAGCGTCGCCCCCGCCCCTCCTCTCTCTCTCCAGATCTTCAACAGTGTTCCGGAAACAGTGCAAGTGCTACAATGGTGTTCGTCATGGCCTGGCCCTTGTTTCCGTCCTTCCCGCAGGCCGAGTCAACTGTAGCTCTCACTCCCCACAGTTCCCTCACCTTTCCCCCAGTCTCCTCCCTCTGTCCAGCCTGGTCTGCCCTCTGATCCTCCGCTCTGCCATACTGCCGGCGCCTGATAGCATTACACCTGCCTTCTTCGATCTCTAGCATCGGCATCTTCAGGTGGAGCATCTCCACCACCCGTGCGACATCTAAATCTCTCTAAGATTCAGAGAGATCCAAATCTAAGAAGACGACCATCTCTGCCGGGGACTAGGCCGGCAGAAGGAGCCCTAATAAATGGCACCACTGGCGGGTTTTATCCATCGACGTCAACGAGGTTCTCACACTCATTAGGGAGGTAACAGCGACCCGCCATGAACAGTACAAACAAAGCTTGATACTGCACCACCTTCCTCCTCCGGGGGGTCCGACGCAGGTGAAGGCACGTGCACAGTCGCCTCGCAGTGGCCTTTAGCTGCCCCCCCCCGCAGGACGGAGCCGACGCAGAAAGACAGTCTCACAGACGATCGGTGATTCTTCATTCTCCCGTTTCCCTCTCTGCTCCTTTTTCCAAGTCGAGCCTCTGTTTCATGGAATATTTGAGTTGATAATTGCCTCGCTTTGAGAAAGAGAGAGTGAAAGATAAGTGAGGGCGAGAGAGTTCATTATTCCCTGTGGCTGGTTTTCCAATGGCTGGTTAGAGTACGTGTCCGTATCTGGCTAATGCGATCCCTCAGCCCAGCTGGAGCTGGTTCGAAAGCTGAAAGAGAGAGAGACCGAGAGAGAGAGAGAGAGAGAGAGAGAGAGAGATATAGGTTGATAGAGATAGAAGGAAGATGTCGAAAGATCTGACGAGGGGGGACGTCGACAGGCTTGAAAATAGTAAGCTTTGGACAGTCTCATTGGGCGTTGGGGGGGTGGGCGGCGGGCTCATCTGAATTGAAGTATAGATGTTGTACGTCAGAAAGGATCACACGCTACAGACCCTCTTCCCGCTTCTCTCTCTCTCTCTCCCTTCCTCTTCAGAGACCCACTTGAATAATTCACATGCGTGTGTGTCTGCATCGATTGAATACATATGAAAATACAATGTGTCAAGATTGACATAAAGATTGATGCACTTCAGACTAACATCAGCCCCAACATCCGGAGCTTTAATGTGTGGACCTGCTCTTGCCACTGCTCCTACCCATGTGCGGCGGTTTAGCAAGTGAAGCCACCTCCATTCGGACAAACGAAAAGGAGGATAATGATAGAGAGAGAGAGAGAGAGAGAGAGGGAGAGAGAGATAAAGAGAGCGAGAGAGAGATGTGGGGAGGAAGCACCACTGTCGTCGGCATCCACCAGCGCGCCACAGGCGACAACATTTCTCAGCCCGTCCGGAACCCACATCGACCCTCTTCCTCACTGACACATGCCCAATCCTCCGCTTCCGCTGGGAACCATGGAGGCGATGTCTCCCGCTGACACTTGCCGAGGAGGGTCGATGCGAGGGGGAGGGGACAGGCAGAGCTCCGACCCTTCGTCCCCCGAGTTCGAGTTCTGGATGGTCCGCAACCCCTCCTTGCCGCAGCCGGATCTTCCCACCGCCGAGGAGCTCTTCGTCGACGGCGTCATCCTCCCTCTTCGTCTCCGTCACCAACACCCGTCTGTAATAGAGCAGGAGCTTGAGCAGGAGCAGGAACAGGCCACCCAACCACCGGGTCCGTCCCCCGCAGCTTCCGATCCCCTCTCACCGGCTTCCTCCTCCCTCTCTAGTTCTGCTTCACTGGCATCGTCTGCGCCCTTCCCTTCGAAGCGCTGGAAGGACATCTTCAGGGGGGCGGGTCGCGAGAAGAAAGCGGAGGAGAAGGACAGGCGGAGGAGCCGGAAGAAGAGCGCTGGCGGCGTGGCGGAGCTCAACATCAACATCTGGCCCTTTTCCCGCAGCCGCTCTGCGGGGACCGGCAGCAGCAGAGCGAGGGGTGTCGCAGCATCAGGGGCCACCGGGCGGCGAGTCAGCAGCGCGCCGTGCTCGCGGAGCAACTCCCGCGGCGAGACCTGCAAGCCCCCCGCCGCCGCTACCCACGCTGCCCCCGCCGCCGCTCTTACCCACGCTGCCCGCAGGTGGACAACCAGCCCTGGCCGATCCGGATTGGGCGTCCACATCGGCCGGGCAAGCCCAGTTTGGCAGCCCCGCAAGGCGACCAAGAAGCCCCATCCCGTCGCGACTGGCTTCTTCAGGACCAGCGGCGCCTCCGGCAACAGGAGAGCCGGCCGGGGCGGCGGGGGGTTGAAGGTCAACGCGGACCTCAACGCCTGTGGCGAGTTCAGTCACGAGGCGAGGTGCGGGGTCGAGAACAAACGGTGTTCGGAAGGCAGTGAGGAGATCGCCGCCGGCGGCGGCAGTGGGAACGGCAGCCACTTTACCAGTCTCAGGGCTTTCTTTTCTAAGGTATTCTGATCCGACTGGTTTGATGTACAGAAGCCTTCCCACCATGAATCAACAACTGCTAATCGAAGCTCTTGTCTAATTTCGTCTTCAGATCAATCTTCAATTTTTTTCCATCTACAACCCAAGGATGTCAGCATAAGCCTATTATAGAAATTTCAGATAGCAACTGACGATAGTCTGCTTGACTTTTTGGAAAATATTTGACCTGGTCTCACAATATGGCATCTGAAAATCGGCAGGTTGGTATTATATCAAACAAATTGCTTTGTTGCAATCAGCCCGGCTTTGAATTATTCATGAGAAATAAAAAGAACATTCAGCATTTTCCCACCGGTTCCGCTGCCTGAGTTCGACCGTGTATACTATATTTGGCAATTCACGGTCAACGAATAAAGAGGTGGACGGACGGACCATAATAATAGCACATGGGGGAATATCACGAATATACATTTCTAAAATATTTTTTTTTAATCATCCAACTCATTGATCGGATCAGCCCATGACTTTGACTTTGTATACTTAATTCCAGCGGTCAAGAAATTAATAGTAAATTTTATTTAGTGGATTAATAACAAAAACCAGATTTGTCCGAGCTCATGTCGAGATGTGAGGACATGAAGATCTGTGAAGGCATCCAGAGTGGGAATTGAAGAAACCAGGTATTAAATAAATATGACATTATCAGCCAAGTATTCGCTTCTGAAATTTTTTTTAAAAAATGCTTATCTCAATGCCACGTATTTGCCCAAATGAAAACATACGGCAGGAGCTGAATTTAATCATGGTCCATTTTACTGGCCCGGGCTTAGCTGTCGCAACCCGATCCCGCACAATTATGAGCCCAACTAGAAAGACGAGAGCAAGGGCGTGAGCCCAACTAGGTGTCATGCATGGACCGCAAAACCCACGAGCTTGTTGACAGAAAGAAGGGTGGGGAGGGAGAGAGAGAGAGATGTCGGCACGAGTCCCATCTGGGTCTCTGGGGTGGTGGGCCGAGACATTGCAGTGGAATCTCCCCATCTCGAGCAGTTTCTAGGGGGAATCGTTTACAGTGGCTGTTGGGATCTCACATCACAATCGTGGCACGTACCTTTCCTTCCTCCTAGCTTCCTCTGGATAGCGGAGGCTCGGCTTGTGGGATTCCAGCTGACAACAGCTGGGAAAGTCTCCGAGCACGTGGAAGCGATCGGGGGTGTCCCCATTCTCTCGCCCGAACCCATCAGAATGTATCAAATTGGAGATTGTCTTTGGCCAGATATGTTAGAAAATACAGCCCGTACCTTCGAGGGCAGCTGTCTTCTTCTTCTTCTTCTTCCTCTCCCCCGCTCCCTCCCTCCCTCCCTCCCTCCCTCCCCCATCACCAAGTCCTACGTCTCCTTCCGGTGAAGAACTCTCAATGGCGACGGTGGCGGCGGCGGCCGTCGCCCTCATGGTGGTCGCCCTGGCCGCCGCCGGGGCGTCGGCGGATTCTTTCCAGCCCTACACCAACCACACCGTCGGCGGCGCTGCCGGGTGGGTGTTCAACGCGGTTAGCAAAAAGGCCAGCACCGACTACTCCGCTTGGGCCTCCAAGAGGAGCTTCTTCGTCGGCGACTACCTCAGTGCGGTCTCCTCTTCTCGATGAAGGGAGCTAGTTTCATTTGGTTCTTCATCTCCATCAGAATTTGCTGATGAGGTTTTTGCGTTTTTCTTCTGGGAACAATTCGCAGTCTTCACGAATAACGGGAACTCGACCGTGATCCAGACCTACAACAGGACGACGTACAGGCTGTGCAGCCTCGACCAAGACTATGGCAATCTCACCTCCCAGTGGACCTCCGACGCTGCCGACGGCGGCGGCGCAGGCAGTGGAGGGGACTTGATACCGGTCCCCCTGACGGAGGACGGAGGGAACTACTTCTTCTCCAGCGCCGACGGCGGTGCCCAGTGCAGAAACGGGATGAAGTTTCACATCGTGGTCCTTCATAGGCAGGGGCAGCCGTCGCCTTCCCCATCGCCGGCGGCATCGCCGCCATCCGTATCAGCGGAGCTCAGCCCCAGCATTCAGCCGCAGGCGGACTTGAACGGCGGTGGGCGGCGAGGAAGAGGACCTTGGGCCCTCTCGACCTTCGTGGGGATTCTTCTCCTCCTGATGTCGTCCGGGTGAACCGGGGGGAGGAACATGCCGAGATTCTTTGCTTCTACCGGAGAAGTCGACTTCTGGCCGTCCTTTCACATTTTCTTTTGACTCCATTATTCTGAACAGCGCCAGTTTTACTTCTGGACGCCATATACTATTTTTTATAATCACAGACCATGTGAATAAGAGCTTGTATCTCTTTGCCGTTGACTACCTTGACTAACTCCTGGGTTTTCCGGGTCTTATTCAAGCCGCCACGTCCATTGCAAGGCTTCAATCTGACCGGATCTCCCAGAAAACCTTGAGAGTTGGCTTTCGGGCCCAAACCAACCAGTAGGGCCCGGCCCTCCATATTATGCAAAAATCAGTGAGAGAGAAGAAAAAAAGGTGTTTCTGCCGTCAACGGGACCAAGTCTTCGTACAAGTTGAGACACTACATCTTTAAATATACAAATCCATGTAGAGAGAGAGAGAGAGAGAGTAGACAAACAGACAGACAGACAGACAGAAGAGTTCAATGCATCAGCGACTGAGGGCCGAGTCCCATCCCCATAACTCTGGAGTAAGTCTCCGACTCATCAACCTTGTCGGAACAGGTCGACAAAAAACCTATAAATGATTTAATCCCTGCACAAGAGAGCTTCGTCAAAAGAAGACGCCAAGTATGCACCCAATGTGGGTGTCAACAGGCTGACGTCAGCCCATATGTCTAATTCATGTTTCCTAGACTAGAACAACAAAACGGAGATGATAGTAAGTAGCACCCTCCCGCAGGGTGCCATAATCATGTGCCTAACTAAAGACGTGGTTCACTAAACAAGCAGCTTAGTGAGGTCTTCTCTGCGGCGTAGTTCTTATTTTCAAGCCCCATGTACACTGGTGAAGCAAAATATGTGGGATTCTACAGTGCGCTACAGAGTAGCATCTCATTCCGCCCGCTCAGCTACTGACGGACCTGGATGTCGTCTCCTACGATCGGAATGAAGCCAATCTATGGAATCATCGAAGGTTTAGAAGTTTGTGAAGATTTTCATTTCGTTCAAGATGTGCTCAAAATTGTCGTTCGATTTCTCGATGGGATGTGTGTGCGTTCCTTCGTAGGTGGTCACCACCACACCCTCGTCCTTCGAGAGCCGTTGGACCTGCTTCTTGACGATGCACCCTTGATGCGTACACCGATAGTAGCTCCTGCAGCAAAACAACGTACAATATGAAAAACAACGTCGGTACGTCACACAGATCATCGACACTGCTTGGGTTCATCTTGGCAGGAGTAATTACGAAAAAAAAGACCCTAAGCGGAAACATGCAGACATGATAGATGGCTGAAGATGAAACTCCGGAAGGTAGAGGCTTCTGTAATATTCACTGAGTTTGTAATACGCTTCTAATAAAGGTCTAAGCTAGTATTGGGTCAGAAGAATGGATGGGTGATTGATCAAGGTCGAAATGTTTCTGATTGCGAGTCTCTAACATACTGAATGAAGTCATCGTTACAGCTGACCCTCAATCCAGGCGAAGTTTAAATTTTTCCCCTTTACAAGTGCACACATTTGTCTGTATATTGGGAGTTGGTAGGAAATAGCGAATACTTAACTACAAAGTAAATGGCAGCCGCTATTCCTCTACATATCACGAATTCCCAGCACCAGCAACACATAGAATGGTCACAGGCCTCTACGTTATCTCGGGTACTAAGATGCAGGCAAAGCAAAGGATGCAGTCAAGAAAAATCAATGAAATCGGCATCAAGGGGTTTTGGAAACGAGGAAGGCGCGTTACTGAATTCAATACGCGCTGAACTGAAAGGCAGAAAGCGAAAAGAAGGAAATCTAGACAGGACAGAGAGACATGGAGAAACCCTCACGAAGGCTCAACCAATTGCCAGCTTGCCGGAGAGTTATGCAATTCAGCAGACTCTCCATCCAGTAAGATTGGCAGTTTAAGAAGAAAAATGAGCTTCGGAGCAATCTTGATCGGAGATCCTAATCTTCACAGCCGTTGCACCACGCACGGCGGCGGTCTCCCTCTCATTATTATCAGTAGAAATCATTTGGGCCAGTGAGGGTAAATTTCTGATTTTCTGTTTTACTTGAAATTATCTAAGATGTCATATAGCATAGTTAATCGCAATGATCAAATCCTTCAAAAAGCTGCTTACCGTGGGAACCTATTATTCTTCACAGCCTTCTGCCCATACTTCCTCCATCGATAGCCGTCATCGAGTATATCCACCTGGCTGCGCGTCTGGAAAGCATATTTAGGCTTCCGGACATTCTTCGCGCCCTTCTTCTTGGCGGCCTTCATCTCATCATCTGAGCCAGTAGTCGCTTCCATCCGGGGATAACCACCAGTCCATCCTAAGCTCGCAGCCTCGTGCTCCCCCTTTAAGCCTGTGAATCCTCTCGCAGTTTCTCCCAGAAGCTTGTCAAAAGCCTGGGGTTGTAGCATGCTTGATGATAATACTGACTGCCCGGAAGAATGATGGGAGGAAGAAGCTGGAGGGAACATTATAGGATGATGCTCCATGCTCGAGGATTCGGAGATGAGATGAAATTCTCTAGACACAGCGAGAGCAAGAGAGAGAGAGAGAGAGTTGTCAAGGGGAGGAAGGAGTATATGGGAATTGGAACTGGTGGGGATCGGGAGGTCGTCGTGGAAAGAGAGGGCAGGGCGGCTAAGAAAGCGCTAATTGAAGGTGCCGTGAACGGCACGTCGACGGGGTAACAAGACAGACGTACCTCCCTCTCATCCTGACGTTGTAGTATCTCTTTACTCCCCCTCCTTCACGTATCTCATCTTCATCCTCCAAACCCTTATCCTGTCAGCCTTCGAGGAATCTGCGCAAACGACACGAGCTCCAGAAGATAACTTATATGTATATATTTATGCAGAGCCTGTAGAGCTTTCTCTCGCCATTAACAGCCCATTCAACCTAAGCTTTTCAATAGTTGAGAGAGATAAAACTTGTACCAGTTGCTTGGTCAGATAAAAGACCTCGCCCCCCTCCTTCCATCAATACGGACACAAATTATACAGTCCATGATATCGAGGTTTACAACACGTGTTCGTCTCCTGAAGGGAGTTCTCCGAGGAGCGCCCACCAGAACAATCGCCGACGAAAACGACCATCTCCCTGGAGTCCGTCGTACAGGCGACGGCGGCGGCGCTGTACATCCCTCCCTCGGCTACCGTCGAGTGGACAAGTTATTCGTCTCCCTTCGGCTTTCCGTAGAGGAGGTATTTTTAATTTATGGGGGTGAGTTGCTTTGCCTGGAGGCGAGTCTAGAAAGAATTTCATGTTGACTTCCTGATCGATCCACAGAGTAGGACTCACATCTTGAAGCGTATTGCGGAGTAAGTTGATGGATAGATATGAAGAGGAAGATAAAGAGATGTTGGAACGATCCGATAGTCCCGTAAGCATCTCCCTCTTGCTTTCTGTTCTCTTTCCATTACTCATGCAGTTAATGCCATCGGCGGCCTGACGGTCAAAGGAATTGCACGAGTCATAGATTGCAGACTCGTGTGAGGCGGCTGATTCCCACAGAGAAAGGAGAAAGAACGCCACATGGAGTTCTGTTTCTCGTCAAAGGAACGAAGAACTACTAGAAGCACCCGAGAAAGCGTCCGGGGGAGGTAATTGGGAACTAGATTCTGTCTTCAATGGCGTGCCGACATCTTGGTGAAAGGAGCTCGACAGCGGCGGCGTGGTAGGCCAGCGGAGCGGTGAGCCATCGGCGAAACAACCTCGGTCGCCGTCGAAGAAGAAGCCAGCTGTTGGCCTTGACTTTAAAATTTTGTGTTGAACCTTGGATCGAAGGCCCGCCCCCATCGGGAACCATGGCGATGAGCACAAACCGAATGATGTGAACAGATTTCGAGTTCTTTTCGACGATTAAACACCTAGAAAATGGTACTAAATCATGCCGCATCTGGTTTCATTCGTCTCCACGAGCAAGCCCTGATGGACGATGGACATCACACCGCAAGAGAAAGAGCAGGGCAGCGCTGCAGCGCTTTGACAGCGGGTGGATTGTGCTCACGGTGATGTACCCCCTCGCCAGTATGTAAGCAGTGAGAGGAGAGAGAGAGAGAGAGAGAGAGGGACAAGGAGTAGTCCGCTTGGGCGGCCGAAGGTGAGGAGCTGTCTGCCGTCGTCTCATCCACGTCTTGAAAGCATTCGCAGCTGCTGACGGACGAGGAGGCCCACCTCTATTGACTGCGATTGCGCCAGCACCGCCTTGCAAAAATCTCTGCGGGACGACTGAAAGCGAGAGAGAGAGAGAGAGAGAGAGAGACCGAGAGACCGAGAGACCGTGAGACAGTTTTTGACGATTAATGGGAAACGAAGACCCACGAGGCAGCCATAGAGAGCATCGCGGTTCACGGCCTTCCGTCAGCGCCGGTCGCAGTTTTCACCGTCAACGGACGTCAGTGGTCGATTAATCGCGTGTTCATCAAGACAAGCATCGGCAAATATCTTCTTCGGTTCGACAATGACCCAATTGAAATATGCATAATTAAATCACGTTGAAAGTTTCTGTTTCTTATTCGGCCACGGGGCGCCGTCAGAAAGTTTCTCGGGCAGTAAGAATAGCTTCTGTGATGTTAACCGCCTCATCTATTCTTCTCCAGAGGCGGGGGTAGGGGAAGCCCTTGTCCCGCATCCCGCCGTGGCCAGACAATGGCGACGGGGCCGTCTCGCAAGGGTCCGGTGGCCCCCCTTCCTTTATCTCCCGCTGGCCCACCGCTGTCTTCCCTTTCCCCATTTGCCCGCCACCATACTCCGCCGCCGCTCTGGCTTCCCCTTCCGGGATCTGTAATGCAGGAAGGCGGCAGGACAGCGGCGACCTTCGGCCGGAGTCACTCGCTTTGGGATGCAGGACGGCTGGAAGCAGCGCGGTTAACTCCCCGATCCGCCGCTGACTTGTAGGTCGGCAGAAGAATGAGACGGAGAGAAGGAGAGAGGGAGAGAAGGAGAGAAGGAGAGAAGGAGAGAGGGAGAGAGGGAGAGGGAGAGAGAGAGAGAGAGAGCGAGAGAGAGAGCGAGAGAGAGAGCGAGAGAGAGAGCGAGAGAGAGAGCGAGAGAGAGAGAGAGAGGGAGAGAGAGAGAGAGAGAGAGAGAGAGAGAGAGAGAGAGAGAGAGAGAGAGAGAGAGAGAGAGAGAGAGAGAGAGAGAGAGAGAGGAGAGTGAGAGAGGGAGAGGGAGAGAGAGAGGGAGAGATGGAGAGTGAGAGAGGGAGAGGGAGAGGGAGAGCGGGAGAGGGAGAGAGAGAGGGAGAGGGAGAGAGAGAGGGAGAAGGAGAGGGAGAGGGAGAGAGAGAGGGAGAAGGAGAGGGAGAGGGAGAGAGAGAGAGATATATATATTCTATAAATGAGATTGCAACCACCGGTTCTGCTGAGTTTGTCGACCAGATTCTTCAGTTAATTGTCATAATTTGAGCAAATTACTTACATAAATGCGTATTAGAGTGTTGATTTTAGTACGGTACCATTACCTTCGAAATAAATTAAAATGGTGAAAATGGTCCAGAGAACAAATAACAATTGAACAGGTCCCGCTGCCCAAAAAGTCAACTAAAACAATTACATCATCGGTCAACTTGGATGGCTGATCTCGATCAATAAATCCGACCGGAAGAGCTCGGCCCACACAATTGAAATTCAGATTAAACTCGCACATTTTCCTCGCATTGCAAAAAATCATATTTTTTTCCGCACAAAATCTTTGAAATGAAGCAACTAGATCCGTTGAAAGGGAGCCTGCTGCACTGGAGAACGAGATAGACTACAAAAGTAAGACCAACACTACTGAAATTCAGATTAAATTCGGGCACTTTCCTCAGATGGAAAAAAATCATATTTTTTTCCGCACAAAAGTTTTGGAAATGAAGCAATTAGATCCGTTCAAGGGGAACCTGCTCTATTGGACGAACGAGGTAGACTACAAAAACAAGATAAATGGGATTCATGCTTATTTTATTAGCCCCCGGAATCAGACGACGGGATCAGCATGGATGTAGAAGAAGAACCACGGGGCGGGTAATGGCAGGCTATTTCTTCGCCGGCGTGCCGTTGACTACTGAGGCCTTGGCAGGGGCGGGGATGGCGACCTTGCCTGGGGCTTCCGAGCCCTTTCGGGGGTTGAGCTCGTCCCAGGACTCGATCCAGGTGACCATGGCTTCGGAGAGCTTGGAGAAGTAGGGGTCAATTGGGCCGAGCTTCTCCTTTACGAGCTTGCTGAGCTCAATGTAGCATGCCTGGACGGTGGTGCACTCCTTGGGGAGCACCACAGACTGGAAGAAGGGGATGATGTCCTCCTGCCAGTAGATTCCCTTGTACTCCTTCCTCAGGTTCACGAAGGGGTTGCTGGCCTTGCTGTGGAAGATGTACGGCAGCCCAGTCTTCACCCCCAGCCCCAGGTGGTCGCAGATCACCTGCATTTCCCAGCCAAGTCCCATGTCACTCCTCAAAATCACGCATCAATGGCGAAATCAGCAGAAATCTCTCCCTCTCTCCCATCTCTCCCATCTCCGTGTTCTGGATAGATCTTACCTTGCAGCACCAGCCGGCCCACATGTCGTCGTAGCGACCGATGGGCTGGCCGTCGCCCATGAGGCCGAAGTACATGGCAGGGCCGATGAGCTCCCTGTTGAAACCGAGGTTCATGCCGCACATGGGGAAGAGGGTGCCCTTGGGGATGGTCAGCACCGCGTCCACGTATCGGGTGTTGCGCTCCAGGGGCTTGACGAGCTGAGTGGGCGCATCATAGTCCGGGATGTTCAGCCAGAGGCCGTGAGAGATTGCCGTCGGAGCGCCCTCCCTCATGCTGAACGGGTACCCGCGGACGAAGTCGGCGCCCTTGCGGTAGGGATCGTAGAGCGTGTTGAAGAAGAAGGGTGTCGACGGCGTCAGCAGGTTTTCGATGTGCTGCGCCAGGGCGTTGATGTCCTCGCCGGTAGGGTTCTTCGCCACCTGCCATTGACGCGCGCCGCCGACGGAAATCAGGATGAGAGAGAGTGGAGCGAGGACAACAGAGCAAGATCAAATCAAATTTTGGGCCGCGATATGGATTATGAACTTGGCGCCATCAGATCCCGGCCGCCAGCGTCGACGACGGGAAGGGCTAGTGATGAATGGGGCATGATTAGTCGACAAACTCCCCCAGATCCCCAATTCTCAAGAGAATTCGAAAGCGGAGGCAGAGAGCGGTCGGATCGGAGGGGAAGCAGAGCGATGAGAGGGAGGGAGAGTATAACGGGGCGGGGGTTTGGAGGATCTTACGAAACAGTCGTCGTCGATGGTGAAGATGTACTTCTTCTTGGAGACCATGAAGCCGAAGCAGCGGCAGGCGGAGTCCTTGAAGGAGATGCAGGAGGCCTTGGGGCCGAGGATGCGGTTGATGTCGTTCCTGTTGTAAAGCTCGTAGTCGAATCCCTCCGGCACCCGGATCGTCTTCGTGGGATCCCCATCCTGCACGATGATCAGGTGGTAGGCCTGGAAGAACGGCCGCCACATCTCCAGGAAGTCCAGGTTACGGATCGTCGGGATCACGATGTCGAGCTCGTCCTTGAGCGGCGGCGACACCGGCACCGCCGGCACTCCCCCGCCATGCTGAAGCCCCGCCATCTGCTCGGACAAGGAGAGATCGAGTGAAGCCCCGCAGGCCCGCGAGGGAGATCTACGAACTCGATCTGGGACGACGAACCCGGCAGAGAGGAGAGAGCAGAGACCGAGGAGGAAGACAACTCCGCAGTCTCCATTTTATCATCCGATGACCGGGTGCGCCAGCTTTCACAGCCGTTGGATTCTCCAGATCGGACGAAGGTCCGCGGGGCTCGGGAAAGGGCCCAGCTCCCAGCAAGAGCGCGTTACCTCCTCTTTTCCTGTAAACCGCAGAGTAAACGGCCGTTCGGACACGTTGGCTGAATCCGATTTAAAGATGCCTTCTAACAGCCGTCAGATCGGTGGATCGAGTTTTGGTAAAACAATTAGTGCCACGGTCCGCCGTGCCAGCTTACTACACCAGCTAGTGGGACCCAGCCACGTGGAGACACGAGGGGCGAAGGCAACGAAGTCAAAACCCTAGAGAGAGAGAGAGAGAGAGAGAGAGAGAGAGAGGGGGAGGAATGCGTTTATTTTGGGCCGTCGATCACACGATGGACGAAGAGGGGTTGACCCATTCGGGCCGATCAATTCCCCGTGCGAAGAAGGTGCCATCTTGAGAAGGACCTGTATCTGCCATGCAACCGGCGGGCAGTTAGCTAAAGAAGGGCGGGATCAACTCTCCTCCCACTCGTCATCTCTTCACGGCGACCCCACTGGCCCGCTTCTTCAACGCGTTTCTCTTCTGACGTTCCAACTAACCTCTCATTTTAGGTCACTAGTAAGAGATGCATGGATAGAGAGAGAGAGAGAGAGAGAGAGAGAGAGCGAGAGAGACTTGGGTACTAGTGGTAGTAGCAGGTGAGGGAGGGAGCTGAAGGCCGAGCTCCACAAGGGCAGGAGTTGTTAGTTCATTAAAGGGAGAGGCTATGGAGGCCAGCTCATTCACAGCGGAACACCACCTCGTAAAGACGATATTCGTTCTTGTGCATGGCTTCGAGAGAGAGCGTGGGCCATGTGTTTGGCTTGGGAGGTACGTGAACTTTCTTAGAAGCCATAAAACGAGCCAAAGATTCTTTAGAAATAGAAGACCAAGCCAACCTTCTCTCTCTCTCTCTCTCTCTCTCTCTCTCTCTCTCTCTCTCTCTCTCTCTAGAGGTATATCCATTGATTTTATTCGCTCTTCGGAGTTATCTAATATCATAGTACTCAAATTTTCTCATTTTTGCCACGGCGAGTAACCCTCCCACCTGAATTTGCAAGCTCGGTGAAGCCTTGACTCGGCCCAAGTCAAAGTTTTGATATTTTCTCAAAATACGGACCCAAATTAGCATCCTGTTGACTACTGTAGCTTCCTCATCTCTCTCAAAATGTGAACTCTCCAAGTTGCGTAGGATCTAAGGGCCCCGGAATCTACGGGCATGGGGCTCCAGACAGGAAGACTAAAAGGAGAAGCAACGCCCCTCCACCCACACACAACAAAAATGGAATTTTTTGAATGTGTTGACTTCGACAAGAGGTGGACCCACTTGAGACGCAGGCTGGACAGGCCTGAAGAACGTCCAACTTCTGTTCAGGCCCGAATCAACCACTAGACAGGACTAAGAGAGAAGCAGGGACAGAGACGGAGCGTGGAGGTTGTCCCGGCGCGCAGGAAGATGGGGGTCGTGGCAGCATGAGAACCCAGCAGCCGCTGCGATCTGAGCTGCTCTCCCCTTGAGAGGATGGTCAACGTGGGGCCCAGTCCGCGCACGACAATGGAGACCGGAAGAGTAGGCCTGGAAGGCAACGGGACGATGAAGAATTCCAGGATTGCGGCTTGCGGCGGCAGCGGCGGCGGCCAGGCCGTGGTACAGTGACTGGTAACCACATACCCAAGGAAGAAAAGGGTCTGTGTCCCTTATACTGGAGGACAAGACCGCAGCTTTGACAGGAAGGAGCTCGATTATCTTCTTCGTGGCCCCCCCTCCACTTTGAACGCTATCCAGCCTCTCTTCCATCCGTTCCGATCCGATTCAGTTCGTCGTCGGTCTCGCCATGGAAGGGTACGTCGCCGACCTCAGGGCCGCCGCCAACGCCTCGCTCTCCCGTTACGAGCCCCTCGTCCTCGTCGCTGGCCCTCTGTTGGCGCTGCTGGTCGCCTGGGTAGTCCAATCCCTGCTTTCGATGGTGGGGGAGAAGGGCGCCAAGGCCGCCGCTCTCGGCTTCATCATGGCCCTCGTCAAGTAGGACACCCACCCACCCTTTTCCCTGTGTCTATTCTTCGATTATCCCTCCTCTCTCTTCTGGTCACTGTGTCACTGACTGTGCTGCGTCTCGGTGGCCCTGCAGGCTGATTCCCGGCGTCAAATCCTATATGGAGGCAGAGAAGAAGAAGGTTTGTCTTGCCTTTGCAAGTTATAACGCTTTATTTCTCCTAATCGGGACGGAAATTTGTACCCAGAAGCCATGCACCCAACCCATAGACAAGAACTCGCTAGGTTTCTGTGCGGAGTGGGCTCGGAAGGCACGCCATCCGCAAGGGCATCCTTGTAGCACGGCCCCTCGCGCTCCTGCGCGGAGCCCACATTTTCTCAGTCGAGAATTCCTCCGCCGCAGATCCTCTGGAGGAGGTCTTAGCTCTCTACGATCGGGCAGGAAATTCAGATTTCGACTGTTTGCGTTAGCAGGCTTCGCTTATATTATAATATTACCAGTCATAGGTTTGTGGGTGCATTCACTCCCGCGGCCATTTCAATGTCCTACATGAGGTTCTGGCATTAAATTCGCTTGGTTTCCAACGGAATCCTCGCATTAAATTCTTTCAGATATCTGTCTGACGTCAACGTTCAGTTTCTTTTCTCGTTTTTCTGCCCCTGTCTAAGCCATGAACCCTAAAGGCGATGATCAGATAGACGGAAGAACTCTTGCTGTTTTAGTCCGAACCCTGAACCTTTCAAGTAACTTTTCAGTGTGTTTCTTCAAAAAAATGCCCATCTCTCTCTCTCTCTCTCTCTCTCTCTCTCTCTCTCTCTCTCTCTCTCTTATATGTTCTCTCTGTTGGTGTGGTGCGGAGTCTTTCCTTAGCCATGTGATGTCAGATAAATTCACACCAGAAACAGGAGTCTTTTATGCCTTTTTTTAATAAAAAATATAGCACTCAATCACTACCTTAGGCACTTTGCAACCCTCATCTTATCTTTTTGCTGCTGGATATATATCATGCATTTGGGATTTGTAGTAGATTCAACTTGGCAGCTTACTTGGCGATACTTTGTGTTCTTGTGGCGTCTCATCAGGTCGTGGACAAATTACAGTCCGGGGATAAATCAAAGAAGGATAGTTGGAGAACGGAGTTGCCAGGTGCTGGGCTCGGAGAAGCTGTCTTAGAGAAGCTACACGAAGATAAAAGAAAGGATGTGATGTGGCAGGGAAAATGCTCTGGTACCGTGTACGTGGATCCTCCTGTTTGTAATTGATATTCATATTAAAAATAAATCAATATGATAGATTTTTCTTGAAAAATTCTGGCGATAATATTGTGCTCCTTTATGCCGTGTTGCAGTTACATTGGTGGGAGTGAGTGCGAGGGCCACTTTAACCTGATCAATGAGGCATATTCAATGTGAGTGGCAGACTAAGCTTTTCTTAATTTTCCAAAGCTTGGAGTACGGCATGTAAAATTCATGGAAAGTGAACATGGAGCATGGATAGTTTCAGCTCTCTGCTTCGATCTTTACAAAAGTTTTGCATTTCTTGGCTGGGTAATCAGTTAATTCTTTCAGAAATGCCGTGGTGACATTTTTAATTTACTTCAATGTGCCGGTTTAAGTCTGGCTTTTCTCTCTTCTTCCTTTCAATTTAGCTTCACATGAAGCAGATGACAGTCTGGAACTGATTTGTGGGCATTTTCTACTAATTTGTTTGTTCACGGAATAATGAAGGAAATAATAGCGGAAAGATAGAGAATGAGTCCTCTCACATTTGCTGGAAATATGTCTCTTTGTCATCTCTGCTGTGAAACATTTGCTGGCAACCTTATGAGAGAGAGCCAGAACTCAACATCCCCCTAAGAGGTCCTAATTTTTGGCGTGTTAGATGTAAATGCTGCATCTTTGTTGCATCAGGATCAAAAGACAGTTTTCTTCTTCCTTTTTTTCATGTGGGCAAACATCTGTGTAAATGCTTGTTTGACGGGATGTCCTGTTGGGTTCTGCTATGATTATCATTAGACTCTTTCATTGTTTTAACAAGTAAACAGTTCATTGTTTTTTTTGACTACCAAATGCTCCGCAAAGATTTTCTTCATATCAGTTTTAAGAAGCTCAATGGGAGATTATTTCCTTCATTTATTTTATTTGGAACGCCATTTGGAAATATCAGTTTGACTTTTCGCTTGGGAATGTGATACGATCTGCTTTGGAAGAATCAGATCGAAACGAATCAGGGGAAAGAAAGTCAACAACATTGATTTTACAACTTTGGACTGTATAGTGTTGATAGAATGTCAGAATGACGGTTCTATCAAAATAGAGAGGAAGGAGAGGATAACCTGCCTCTCCTTGTCTGTACTTTCTGTCCCCTTTATTCCGTTCCTTTGAGCTCTGTTTATATTCCTCTGTCATTCTCATCTGAGACGTCCGATCTGTGACAGTCTCCTGAAGTTTCTCCCGAGTGCTGACCTTCCTTTCCATGGCACGTATGTCATAACAGAAGGCAAGTTATATCACCATAATCCTACCAAGGTTTCTCCATTTTCTTGGGTTTGGGCTGTTTCAGCTACAGCGTCTTGTATGCTCCTCACTAATATATGATAGAGTTGTCCTGAGAATACATATAAAAAGATGCATTGTCTTATAAAATATACTTATGGTTGACTTGCGAACCCAGAGTCCACGCCAATTTGCTATGGTTAACCAGTTCTCTGCCATATTTGTTCGGTTCTAGTTTTTCCAAGGGATATTGATAAACTAGTCTCTCTTACAGTTTATAATCATGGTCTTATTTCAGGTTTTCACATACAAATCCATTGCACCAGGATATATTCCAAAGTGTGGCACGATATGAGGCAGAAGTTGTTGCCATGACTGCAGCACTCCTTGGCAGTAAAGAGAAGAGTTCTGGAGGTCAAATATGTGGCAACATGACATCTGGAGGAACTGAGAGTATACTTCTAGCTGTAAAATCTTCACGTGATTACATGAGGATGAAGAAAGGAATATCAAACCCTGAAATGTGGGTTGTGATCTTTGTAAACATTCTTTTCTTGCTTCTGCTTTACTGCTTGCAGCTCTTTAATTTTCTTTGTTCCTTCTTGTTGCAGGATAATCCCTGAGTCTGCTCATTCTGCTTATGACAAGGCTGCCCAATATTTCAGAATTAAGATTTGGCGTGTCCGTGTAAATAAGGATTTTCAAGCAGATGTGAAAGAGATCAGGCGATATGTTAACAAAAACACATTTTTGGTATTTATTTTTATTTTTATTTTGTGTTCTAGGGGGAGGTTTTAGAGATATGGGAATCTTTATGCGCGTGAATTACAAGTTTCCCCATTCATTGGTGCTCGTCTTTCTTTCTGACTCTTTGTGAATAGCTGCCTCTGATTTTATGAAACTGGCAGCCTTTTTTTCTAACACGTTTACTGCACACCTGAGGAAGTGTACTGAGCTATATTGAACCTTTTTATCTAAATGGTTGATAAAATTTACTGTTGACAACAAATACGGATCACTTGAACCGTCCTCACAAATGCTGCATCTACTGAGAGATGGATGATTTATCTGTTCTTGGTCAAGGATTGAGATCTAAAACTGAAAAAGGATAGTGAGACGTTGATACCATAGCTAAATACACAATACACTGCCTTGTAGATGGGCTGACACGAATCTTTTTGACCTTCATCGTCCATTGCTTCGTGCATATGTAAAAATGTCATGATTTGGTGCATCCTTGGTAGAGAGCTTAGTTAGCATCACTGAAAACGATATCTTCCACAGATATTTAATGCCCACTTTTTTTGCAGAAAAATTCATGTATAGAGCAGTAAACTAACCTGCTAAACTGGTTTTATTTTTATTTTTTTCAGATTGTCGGTTCCGCACCAGGTTTTCCTCATGGCGTTATTGATCCTATTGAAGTAGGTGACGAACCTCTGGCTGATACCTTTGTCATATAGTTTCAAAACCGAGGCACTGGTGTTTGTGGCTTCTTCTTTTCCCTTTTCTCTCTTGTAATGTTTCGAGTCTCTCTGACGTCCTTGTTGTTCACAGGAACTTGGTGGATTGGCTTATAAGTATGGCATTTGCTTGCATGTTGATCTTTGCCTCGGAGGTTTTGTATTGCCCTTTGCACGAAAGCTTGGGTAGGTTCAAGCAAAACAATCCATCAATTTGCAAGCTTAATTTAAAATTAACACTGTTTTACAAGAAGCAAGTTATATATTGATTTATTTGGATGTAAGTCCCGCTATTTATACGAGATAATCCCTTGACATTCTGCATCCACTTGTTAGAAAGTCTCGTGCAAACTTCATTTCATTTAAGAACAAAGTATTGGTCATGCGAAGTATTATTTTGCTAAACTATCACATACAAGCGACCATGTGTTATTATTGGCTGAACCTGGGTGTGTCAACTTACATGGATTTTTATGTATCAGGTTTGAATTGAACCTGTTTTCTTAGGCGACTTAACACGCAATGCCCTTTCTGTATTAACCTTGCTGGCTTTTTGGTCGTCTAGGAACAGAATAGTAACTAAAAGCAGGTGAGACGACCTTGGGATGCCATTGTTTTCTGTTTGAAAATCCTATCGAAATTTAGGGTCTTAATTCCAATAATTTTTTCCTCTTGTTTGTACTTGTAGAATTTTTCTGGGGGAATGGAATGGAAACTTAGGTGCTTGTATACTTTGGCGGCTGCCCTTAAGAAACAGCTGTAAACATATGGTTTTTGGATAGCATCTGCGATTTCTAGGTTCCCTCAATGTTTTCTTTTTTTCTAGAATTTATTCCTGCCTATGGTCAACTGTAGGGAACGATTCCACGGGCATGAAAAATTTAAACCATCCATGTTCTAGCTGTGCCTGAGTTTTTCATTTCAAGCTGAAGCTGTCTCTTTCATGGGACATTGGTTATTAACTTCTCTTTTCTAAGATTATGAAGCTTTGCACTTCGAGTGGACAATTTATTGCACTTGTTTCTATCCTTTTTTGTTCATGACGCCAACGATATGGCTATTTCAACAGTCATCTTGAAGACGTTGATGCTTTCTGCTTTCATGGTGCTGCGATTTTTTTATCTGACCGAGAAATGCCGAGATTTGTGTTAGTTTTAGAGGAGAAGTTAGATTCCATCCTTGTTCGATTCTAGACTTTAACACAGGCGCTCAAAGATCCTCATTATTGATGGTACTGCATCTCTGAAATTGCTTTTGTCTTTGAGTTGCATGGTCCTTGTTGGATTTAATTCCATTCCACCATCTCTTGGAATTCTTTTTATCAGTTCGTGCTTCTTTTGTGGCATTTGAGATTCCTTTCATGGCATCTTTTACTCATGACCGTTCTGTTTGCAAGCAATGATGCTGCGTTCTTGGTAAACTACCGTGATTGCATCTAATATTGTGTTTGTTTCATAATGTTTCCATCGTAGGTATCCTCTTCCTCCATTTGACTTTTCTGTCAGGGGAGTTACATCGATATCCACTGATGTTCACAAGTATGGGCTGGCTCCAAAGGGGACTAGCGTAGTTCTGTACAGGAACCATAAAATTAGAAAGGTATGCATTTCTGGAGAACAATGCTTTGATTTGGTCATGCAAGTAATTTGTAAAATTTTATAATCCAAATTTTACTATGATTTATAAATCCCCCCATCTCATGGAATAATTTTGAATTCATTTTTTTCCGGTGTTTTTCTCTTTCAGAATTGTATTTAGATGCTGTAGCTTGACTAGTAGCTCACTTTTGGGACTCATAGCCAAGAAGTTGTTGATGAAAACTGTTTACATGGGACTAATTCTTTGTCCTGTTTTTTCCATATGATTGTGATCTACGTATGATTTTCCTGAGAAAAGGTTCCAGCGTCGATCCTGACCTAGTTACACAGAGTAGTAGCGCTGCTTAATTTATATACGACTTCATCGTCCACTAAAACATGGTTTGTTCTTGCACCGGAGGATCCTCCCCCCCTGATAGTTTACATGTGTAGACAACTCAATCATCTGAAAGTCAGACTGGTCAAGCACATTCTGAGAAGTTTGGGTGGAATCTTAGGTCATGAAGATGTTAATCACTAGAACAAGCAAAAAGATGTTCTAGTGAATTCTCTCAAATCCCTTTGCTTTTTCTGGAAAATGATCTCACTCTCCTAAACTGGATCAGCCTTCTCCTTTAGTTACCCATTTTAATGGTGCCATTTATTGAACAGTGCAACAAAGTGGTGAATTTCTTTTCGCTTTTGTTCTCTTTTATTATGAATTGTGGATTCATTTGTAGAACTGGAGCTATTTGTTTTAGTCATCTCCTACTTTCCACCCATCCACCTCTGCTGACAACGCTGGCTTCCTTTCTCTTGCAATGCTCGCACCTCCTGCTTCGACAGCACCAATTTGTGGCTGGTGAGTTGCTCAAGTCCCCACGAATCTGTTCTGAAATTCTGTAGTTTATTCTTGCACTTGGGATCTGGTGCTAAGATTTTCCAAGCTATGATCTTCTGATCGCTTCATGCATGGGAAGCGATTCTTTCGGGTCAAAATAAAATCTGAAGAAGCTCCTTCTGATGCAGTCACTGAGTGGTCTGGTGGACTCTACGTCTCCCCCACCATCGCTGGAAGCAGACCAGGGGGGCTGATTGCCGGCGCCTGGGCGGCAATGATGTCTCTGGGCCTGGAAGGTGACAGGATCTCATCACCCTTCTCTCTGATTCTGGTTTCCGACGCTTCATCTGAAACTCCTCGCGCTTCTCCAGGGTACTTGGAGAACACTAGGGCGATCATGGAGGCAACGAAGAAGATACAGAGAGGGTAATTTCATCCCCGTCCACAAGAGACCGAAATCTGGCTCCGAGTCGTCACTGTCATGTAAAGCATGTGTACAGGATTGAAGAAATCCCCGAGTTGTTCGTCATCGGGCGGCCAGACATGACCGTGGTGGCGTTCGGCTCCGACGACGTCAACATATTCGAGGTCAACGATCAAATGTCCCGCAGAGGCTGGCATTTGAATGCCCTGCAGAGGCCCAACGGGTGCGCCCTCTTCCCTTCCTCGATGTTCTCCATCTTCCGCCATGTCATTACCTTCACGACCAATTCTCAACTTCTGCGTTGACCAGCCTGCACATCTGCGTGACGCTCCAGCACGTCTCCGCCGTGGACGACTTTCTCAAGGATCTGAAGGAATCCGTGAGCACTGTGAGTCCACTTTCGGCGAAGAATCGCCGTCTTGGAACAACCCCACATTGGAAAATTGAAGTACACGAATCAATGAATTGCCCAGGAACCTGAATCTCTTAATCTTGCCGTGGCTTCCGCAGGTGAAGGAAAACCCGGGCCCCATCACCGGCGGGCTCGCTCCGGTCTACGGCGCCGCCGGGAAGATGCCCGACAGGGGCTTTGTGGGGGAGCTGCTGATCGAATATATGGACAATTCCTGCTAGCCGCGTCCCGAGAGGCCATGGAAAACCAAGCAGGCAGCTTGGTACGTGCCCAGGTGGGGAGATCGTCTCTCCCTCTCCCCCATCGAGCCTGGCCCCGGGCTTCTGAAAACCCCCCCGGCTCGAGGCCTGGTCTCATTCTCCTATATATATACATAGCCCTCTTATGGCTCGGATATTGCATTCTTCGGTGCCCATTCGTCGGCAGAAATAATAACCTGCCTGTTAATTAGACCATCGCTTGACTAACCTGAACCCCTTGTAGCATCTGTGAGGGGATCTAAATTTATACATGTATTTTAAAAACAAAAAAAATACATAATCGCCTTTAAAATATCATCTTAACTATCCACAGAGATGAAATTGAAATCCCCCCTAGAAGAGTAGAATAGAGTCTAATCTTTCCATCTGAGCAGAAATCGTTAGATCTATTAACATGGAACGTGTAGGGTTTCTAGCACAATTCAGCAAAGACCAAGATTTCGCCTGTTTTAAGTATTTTTTTATGGACTTTGAAAAATTCTAAAAGTCCGTCGAGGTGTTTTTTTCTTTCGGAAAGAAAGCGTGAGGGTGAAAATACAACTATCGTAATTGATTCGCACCCATCGCTTACAGCCCAAGACGACCCTCTGATGCCCCGATATTCGTTCTTCTACGAAGAGGGAAGCTTGAAAGCCGAAAAGTCAAAGCAGTCCCATTAGAATCTTTCAAAAGAACACGAAAGTAGTTATTCCTCGCAAAGTCTCTCCCATTCAAGAGCATGAAGACAGCGTGATCTAACAGAAGGGTTGAAGATGTTATGGAGAGAGGAGGAGTTCATCTGACGAGCACGAGGATCCGACAATCCAGATATTATTTAGATCACGCGGTGCGAAACAGGTTGATCCTTTCCGCGTTGAATTATGAAAATTTCCGGTTTCTCACCATCCCACTGCAATTACAGCATCCGCTCACATGGCTTCTGGCCTCTCGGGGTTCTCTTCTCCGCGGGAAGGTTCGAGGGGGATCTCCTCTTCCACTTCTACAACTCCAGCACCAGGTCTACAGCATGAGAGGCCATGGAAAAGTATTAGAATGCGATGCAAGGACTGCGGAATTAGAGATCTCGGAGGGATGGAGCTTTCGGTGAGTCGATCACTTACAATCCGCATCGGTCATGATCCAGTGCTCTCGATTGCCGTTGGAGTCGCTTCTGGAGGTGGAAGGGGGAGCCGGTGCCGGAGAAGGATTAGATTGACACTTGAAGCAGCTGGAATTGCCGTCTTTCTTGGGGCCCTTGGCGTTGGCAGCCATGGCCTCGCAGCCGCCCCCGGCGACGGGGTGAGGAAGGTCCCTGCCAGACTTTCCATGCTTCTTGCTGTTGTAAGGCGCCTCTGGATGGACCTTCCTGTGAAACATCTGTATGATCTGCGTCGCAACAAAAATCCCCTGTTCATGAGATAGAAATTTGTAGATAGATAGAGAGAGAGATGAAAATAAAAGAAGTCATATAAAGATAGCAGACCCATCTCATCGGGATCTCTAGAATCAGGCCACCAGTAACATAAAAAGGGCCATTTTTGGCAGCCCTTGCTTGCAGTGGTGGAACTGGTGAACCATGGCGGAGAGTCCTCACCTTGTGGAACTTGGTCTCGCCGGCGACAGAGTCTCCAGCGTGGGTGACGGTGGAAGACGTAGGCCACGTCGAGCGATTTGAAGAACCGTCCACTTTGGAGCAACGTCTCTTCAGCATCTTCTTTACCATCAGGTGCATCCCTGCCGGAGATCTCTCCCTCTCCTCCCCTTTCTTCCCTCCTCCGCCTCCTCCTCCTCCGGCGGCCTCCTCCGCCACGCGGCTCTTCATAAACAACTCTCCCAGAGAGACCCGGTGTTCCTTCTTCTCCGCGGCTGACTCAGAGGTCTCCGCCATCTCGACGGTGGAGCCGAAAAGGTAAACCTGGAGCGGGCACACCTCCGCCGGCAGATGCTTCTGGCTAACGTGGCTTGGCCTTGCCGAGGAGAGCCTGTCGTTCGTGTCGCCAGGCTCCGGCACCAGCACCTTCTCCAACTCCTCGTTAATGGCCTTCAGTTCTCTCTCTGACGGCTCCTTCTCGGCGACGATGGAGTCAACGGAGTCTGGGAGGAACTTCGGCGTCGGCGCGCCGAAGGTCGGAGTGGCTGACCCGAGGGTGCCGATGGCCAGAAGGCCCTGGAAGAGCACGTCGTCCATGGAGGTCTGCTGATCTTCTTCCGGCGAAACATCGCAGAGATCATCCTCTCCAAAGAGACGGTGATCCTGCAATGAGCGGAGAGAAGGCCTTGCCGGCGTCTTGGGTTGGTGGTAGGTGTGGGAACGGAGCTCCTCCAGAGATGGCCTCCCCGAGAGACACTTGGTTGGGCGGCCGTTGCCTGCAGTCATGAAAGGCGGTGCATCTCAATCAGCGTTGTACAAATTTCAAGCGAGACCTGAAGTAACAAGCCCTGTATTTTTTAGGTTCATGAGTTCAACGCCTGCAATCCTCTTAATCGAGAAGCTTACGAGTACCACAGATATCTAACGGTGGATTGCACGTACGAAAAGAATCGGATGGTTGAAACTGGCCGATCTCTCCTGAAGCCTCACAAGAACATGAACGGAAAGATAGAGTTTGATATGAGAGAGAAACAGAGACACAAGAGAGAGAGAGAGAGAGAAAGAGAGAGAGAGGATGTTACCGGCAGCGATATCCCTGAATGAATCATCGGAAGCATCATTCTGCCGGAACTTGCGGTGCATCCATCCCAGTATCTGAATTCACCAGAAAGAAGGATACGATGAGAAAATATAACATCCGGACGCAAAGACGGCATCGACAACGACACGGACCGGTGCTATCTACCTTCATTTCTCTCTGGCCTTCTGCTATCGGAGGTAGAGGATGAGGAGAGGAAGAGAGATGAGGAAGGGGAGAAAAATAGTCGCGTAGAGTTTCGAGAAGTGGAATTTGCCCCAGTGGCTGGGAAGAGCCTTGAAGGTAGAACGAGCGAGAGAGAGAGAGAGAGAGATTGTCAAGAACAGGAATTATCTGGCGCAATAGGGCGATTGATATATATGCAGGAAGAGAAGGAAAGCGGGATGGCGACTGTAAGGAGAGGGCCCGACGTGTTTCCAAGGGGAAGGGGAGGTGCTGATAAAGTGCATATGGGCACGGATAAAGTGCAGATGGGAAGGATGGTTGGGCCGTGGACCATGGTAGGCAGAGGGAAACATATAGAAGCATACAAGCTTCTCGGAGCCGTATCTCCTTCGCCAAACTCGAATGATACGCGCCGACGCGGGGCGGCAGGGTGGCGGCGGGCCAGCCTCTGTCGCGGGACTCAGCCTTCTCTGTTCGCCGGAATAGGAGCCTGTGGTTTACGCCGCCCCACGTAGACAGCCATTAACGACCTTAGGCTCGTTGGGGCATCTTTGATTACAAAGTCTCCGTCGGGCCAACCGCGACCGCAGTCACTGAGACGGGAGGTGGAGTGAGGGAGAGAGGAGAAACTAGATGTTTACATAATGAAGAGCATTGGCAAAGGAGGGGGTTTAAGCGGTCACTGTTCTTTTTCTAACTATCAGTCTTTAAATTCTCATGATTCACATCTTTATGTACACATGTTTTACTGTTCCATTATTTTCATAAATGTTAAACATACAGGTTTCTTTATGAACAAGCAGTTTTTCGCCTAGTAAACTATCTTTTACTTGTTCCGCAGGATAGTTTTTCTAAAATCTTTACATAATCAGCTCAACTAATTCACGATATCGTACCACTAGGGATGAACTTACATCATAATCCAAAGATTGAAATAAAAAATACATCAAATTACCTTGTATAGTAAGCTTTCATTTTTAATGTTAAAAGATATTGTCGTAGATCAAACTGTTAACACCTAGCTAGTGACAAATATCATGGAGAAGAAGAAAATGAGCCATTACTTGATAACCGTTAAAGATGAGCTATTTCCTCTTTGACGACCAATTATTGTCTAAAATTGGTATTTGTATTGATGTACTCTTATCCCAAGTATACGTTAATGGAAGAATAGGGCTGTCCCTATCTCTGTTATTTCTGACTAGTATTGACAAAGGAAACTTCTCGTAGAGAGCTAGAAACCTGAGGGAGAAAGCACCGTTGTACCAACGAGTAATCACACAGTCAGTCGCCACCGACCATCTCATTTAGACGTCGACCACTCTCTTTCTGTTCCCCTCCCTCCCTTCCGCCCTTCGGCCCTCCCGCTCTCCGTCATTTCATTCGTGGAACAGATGATCCTCTTGCGTTTCCGTAACCCTAAGGTATCCCGGGTTGGTGTAATTTGGACGATGGGAAGAAGCCCTCGTCACATGGGGATTTTACCCGTCTTCACGTTGAATGGGCTGGCTGTCGATGAGAATGGTTGTTTTTCAAATATTGATGAATCGATTAAAGATTTACTGAATGCGTGTTTGAGATAAGTCGGCTCATTTCACGAATAATGAATTACGTCTAAGAAGTGATTTCAGTATGTCTCACTACTGAATAAACACCTAAATTCGCAGTGTATGTTGCCGCAAACTAGTAGCTTTAAGTTGGACAGAAAAATTTTAAGATTAAATACGATATATTTTCTCGTACATTAGAGGACCACATATACAAATTGAGAGTGTGTTATATGTTTTCTTTAGGAAATTACTTTTAAAACTAAGCTAAAACATAAAATTACTTCAGAATTTTACGATAACTACGCGACGATAATTTGTGGCAAATCTTTCCACGCTGATAAAGTTTCTTCCACGTTCCAGCTGGAGCCCTCGCGTAGAAAGTGCTCTACCGACCGTAGCTTCTTTCGCTGTCTCTGCGTACAACCGCGCAACGGAATTCAGGGAAGATAAGGTGGTTCTTCTAAAGCTACTGAGCCTCCTTTTCGAAGTGCAAGGGGCCCCAGCATGAGTTGCACCACTCCTGAGTAGCGTTCAATTGCCCAGCAAGGTCCCCCCGTTACTTGGAACTGCCATGCCCTATGTCTCCTGTAGATGCATGCACCCATAAGCAGGGGACTTCACCCAGTCGGGGTTCCCTCGGTAGAGGCCGACAACATACCTAAAAAAATAAAAAAATAAACCATGGCCTCTTATCTCTTGCACTAGGACACCATGAACCCACGTATGTAGGATAGGCTGTATTGGTCTTGACGTTGTCTAGTTGTATTTTTTGTGCCCGGTTCTTAGCTGATCCGGCCAAATTCAACGGGGTTCATTACCATGCTTAAATATATGACTTGACTCAATGGCAAATGGGGAAAAAATTAGGCCGTTTAACTGACCAATTTGATAATGTAATGATTTACCTATTGAATCATCCAACTCAAATAAATATTTTAAGCGAGTACTCGTGTTTACTCAATGACAGTTTATTCCTTTCTTTTAACACATTATTTTATCGTATTCCCTGACGGTTAAACGAACCTTTTACTATAAACGCTCGCGACCAAGTTGACTTTCTGCGTCCAATTGGAAAGATATCTGCTTCAGGTTCGAGGAAGATACCAGCAATAGTAAACGTGAAGCAGACTCCCTCCTGGATCATCCTCGTAGAGAAACTTGTATGGGTCATCGTTTGATTTTCGACACTGCCGTGTCCACCTCATGTATCTTTCGGTAGTCAACTGAATGGCCTAAGGCTGACTTTTACTATAATGAAATGATTTGACTATTGAGAATTGATTTCACCTGATTATTACTTATTATTATTAGTATTCCATTACAATGGGGCAGGCCTGGCCTCGATACCGGCCTGATATTGCCTGAATTTCGACCCAGCCTAACCCTATCCCCTTCGGAGCCGGGTCCAGGGGTCTAGCCTAATGCCGTGGAGCCCATATTTATTGACGCACGACTTTCTTACTATAATGAAATTAATAATATCTTGACCTTTTGACAAAACTAAAACAAATCTGACTAGGATTCTATAATCGACTATTATCAATGTTGGATGATGATGGATAGATTGTTCATGAAAAAGGAATTTTAAGTTATTCATATCCTCACTAACTAAAACTCATTCGAAATAGCATATATGATCTCACGTGTAGCTAGAAGCGTAAGATGTTGTTACTATAGTTTTTACATTTTTTAGAAAAGATAAAGTTCAGGATAAAATACTTAGTTTCCTTAAAGTTTAGGATAAAACTCTTGTCGGACTGTAGTTACTCGTACTTCTAACTCTAGGGTTCTGACTTATCTTGCTTCAGTGAAATTGATAGATATTATGGTTCATCTTCCACTTTATGGTAATCGTTTGAGAAACTCAATTTTTTTATATAAAAAGATAGTTATGCAGTGGTTATATATGAGATGCGATTATGAATTTAAATTATGACGAAAGGATGAGTTTTTCTACCCTTCACATAAGAAAAGGATCCCGCTTTGATGATCTTCATCATCTTATTCATCCTCCATGCCTGAATCTTCACAGCTATTTACATATCTTGTCAGATTTTGGTATATGATTTTATCTTCTCAGTTTTTTTGTACTTATACTAAAAGTGTATTTATTAGTTAAAATATTTGGTCATCATGCTCGAAATCTATTTCAATCAGTGAATAACCTTCTTTATGTAATTTTACGTTTTTTTTGTATTTCTCCGAATGAGATACTCTTCCATCATCCCCGTTCACTTTCGAAGGTAATACTCTTCTACACCATCACACGGGTGCAATAGAAATAGAACATCAGGCTCATGAGCACAGTTTCCAGATTAGAAACAGCATTAACGTATTATGTCAACCAATTTAAAATCAACTATCCACTCTAAATAATCACAATGGCTTGTTTTCTTTTTTCTAACTTAAGAATATTACATTAATACATATGATCTGTCGACCAAGATGAAAGGGCAAATACATTTTATGCTTTAGCATCCATTACGAGTCTCTTCGGAAATGAGTTGCCTGAAACTCTATCACGAAATAATGTATTATAAATTTTGAGCATTTTAAGAGAGTTAAATATATAGTTGCAGAATTACCGCAGTGGTTTCAATATGGAAATGATTATAGTAAAAAACCTAGATTCACGTTAAGGTTCCCAATCGTCATGCTGTCTGGGGGAAGGACAATCTTTTCGCCTTCTATCATATATAGGAATAATATCTACTCCTAGACCAAAGGTTTTGTAAATTTAGTTTTTGAAAATCTTGTTGATTATTACAATTTCGGACTTTTACAATTAATCTAGAAGGCCAAGTGCGGGGATATTCATGATATAGCAGAGATGTGTATCCTTGAAATCTGTCCATTAAACATTAAGACCCATCAAACCTTCATGTATATTATTTTGATAGCACTCCACGTGTGGTTTTTTGCAAGCAGCGACAGAATTACGCTAGTTCGTTACCCACCACAGAACAATCCTCGATCAACGATTTGTATACCTGAAATAGCCATAATTCGAAGTGATGAATGGTGTTACGTGTACTTGGTTTCATGTGGTTCTTATTGTATTTTTCTTCGTTGCGACGAACCCATCAATTTGGGCGACTGGGTACGAAGGAATAGCTATGAATCTCCTACACACACGGTCTATCGCATAACCCTAGTTCACGGCAGATGTCGCGGACCAACCAGAAGCTATCTCGTCTGGATGGCTTCACTTCTGATCTATTCGGTGAGATATGACACCAAAGGCTTCTTGTCCACCGACATATTGTACAATCAATGTTTGCCCTCACTTGGGTAAAGCCCAACAAACACAAGCTTCACAAAGCAGATAGAGAGGAGTGGCGTCCTATAGTTCCAGATGGCAAGTCCTCAAGTGAGACGTGGCAATGGACTCAGCCCCGACGCGACCCCCGTCCATTGTCCTCCAGATTGACGTCAAAA